GACAAAAGCTTGGCGGCAGGGCGTGGCGACGGGCGACCCCACATTTCTCTCAGAGCAGAGACGCGTGTCGCGCGTCTCAGTCCCCGTGTCGCGCCCATTCCGGGCCTCTGCGAATCCCACCCACCAGGGGAACAAAGCGGCCGGGGCGCGGCGAGACACAGCCCCTCGTGGAACCCCGTGCGTCCCAGCCCTCGCTGCCCCGCCCGCAAGTGCCCGGAACCCCGGCCAGCTCCCCATAAGCTGCCGCCTGCACCGGCGGCGCTCCCCGGCAGCAGCCGTGTCCTGCGCCGCCCGCCGGTTCTCGGCGTCCTCGGCAGCTACTGTACCTGCTAAATTTAGCGGCCGCCGGGTATTAATAGCCCAAGCGACTGGGGCCGGGCTGCGCAGGGGCGCGCACAGCCCAGGGGCCGGGGACGGGAAGGGAGGGGAAGGAGGGACGCGAGTAAGAAGGCCACTTACACCACCAGCCTGGAGATGATCCATGACACCATGGCGGGCGGGCGGGCACGGCCCGGGCAGCGCGGCACGGCTCGGCTCGGCTGCTGGCGGCTTGGGCGGCTGCGGCGCTCACGGCACGTCCGTTCGCGCACCGCCGCCGCAGCCAGACTGAGCGCGCCCGCCGCCCTGCCCGGCGCTCGCGCGTCGGCGCCGCCGCGGCCCGTTCCGGCGGCGACGGCGGCCCCAGCCCCCCGGGGCCCGGCGGGCCCGCGGCGATTGGGCGGCGAATCGGTCAGGGCACCAGAGGGACCCGCCCCGCCCCGCTCGCCCAGGCCCCCGGCTGGATTCGGGCGGGTCCTCCGCGCGCCGAGGTGCACCGGCCCCTCAAAGTGGAGCCCTGCGGTGGCCCAGCTGGCAGGGCAGAACCCCGGGTGCTGCCCCACCCTCAGTGTTACAGCAGGGAAATTGAGGTCCAGACTTGGACTTGGGAGTCTGTCTACACCTGAATGGTGTTGTTACCCCTCATTCAGATTATGCGCCAGCCTCATAAAGGACTTACCTGTATCCAGACCTGACCTCTTCAATCCGTTCCCCATGCGGCATTGTCTCCGTAAGAAGCAAACCTGGGCGCTTGTCTCCCCGCAACCTAATTCCTGCCCAATTCCCCTCACCACCACCATTCCCCAATATCCCTCTAGCTCTTTTCGATCCAGGCATTTTGGACTTAAATTTGTGCAGTTTCTTCTTCCATGCATCATCGTCTTGCTTTCGTTTGATTCACCTCCTTCTTGAAGGCTTAGCTGGAGGGTTACTTCTGGAATGTCTTTCCTGGGGACTGCTCTGGCTTCGACCTGGCCAGGAGAGCTAGGAGCTTCTACTGCACCAATGCCAGTGCCCTGCCGAGCCATAGTAGAGTCTTAAGCAAATGGGAACTTGTGCACCCACTATAAACATTTTCATGTATTTTTAAAATTTGCACTAAATATTATTTATCTTGATAACTGAGTTTTATGGTGCCCTCTTAGATTTTGGGCCCTGGCCAGGTGCCTCACTCTGCTGGCCCTAAAGGGAGCACTGCGTAGCACACTATTCTGTTACACTGGAAACCCTTTGTCCTTTACTCGCTGGCTCTCTTGCTGTTTTCCCTACCCTCTGATAGCTCAGATCTGCGTGGTGCTCTCTCAGCCCTCTTTGCTCCTTTGCCGATTGATGCTCATGTCATGTGTAATTCAGTGTCAGAGGTGAAAGACACAGGAGAAAACTTAGTACCTTCGGATGTAGCAGAATGTGTATGAGTGTGCACCTGATACAAGCAGAAGATTTTGCTGACAACAAAGGGACTGCAAATGAGACGCCCTTGTGATAAGGGGCCTCCAAAGAACCCACAAAATACCAGTAATACAGTGCTTTTCATTGCTGCCTTGACCCAGTTTTGAGGTCCTGTCTGGAGGCTGGTCAGTTTCTCTTCTCCAGCAGCCTATTAACTCCGCACCAACCACTTTCCTTTTGGAGCACTCCAGGCCACCATATACCCAACCCTAATTATACCAGACAACCAAAGAGGGTCCCTGTACTCCCAGAACCCACTGACAAACATCATTAAAATTAGCCGGTCCTAAACCTGCCTGTCCTACCTCACCTCTTCCTTCCCTTGGAAGCCACAGTAAAGGTGTTTATACAGTTTCCTTCTCTCCCCCTGCATGTAACTAAGCCTGGTGTTGGCCCTGAGGGGCCCTGAATCCACCTGCTATGCTCTCCCCAGGGAACTGTGAGTAAACAAAACTGTGAGTAAAACTCTTTCTAGTTTCTCTTCAGTGATCTATGTCTGGCCTCACTATACCTCACTCAAGGAAATGTGATTAAAACAATAACTCAAAGGAATACTTACCAGCAAAGAGGACACCAAAGCCTGACCAGAACAGTACCAAGCAAGCAGGACCTGCCTGAGACCTCTCCTCCCTTTCATCTGTGCCTTCCCCAGAGGTCAGAAAATGTCCCCTACCTGTCCCCTACCCCAGAGGTCAGAAAATGCTGTTAGCCATCTTGGGTATGAAAGGGTGGAATATTGTGCTTCAAAGAGATCCTATTGGTGGGGAAAGTAAAGAAGATGGCCATGTGCTGTTTCCCTCCCAAAGCATGCCACATGTGGGCAAGCTTCACCTACAAATGGAATTCTCAGGTTTGACTATTGCACAGACCTGGGCAAACTGCAACTATTCATGGGGTTAAAATACGTGGTGGTCTTTTTATTATCTGAAGAGGATCAGGAAACTAGTGAGAACAACCCTAGATTTCACATAAGGACTGGGAAAGAACTTGTCCACAGAGCTTGTTTAGATGAATAGATGAGGGGAAAGAAGAGAAAAAAAAGAAAATTAGCTGCTTTTTTTTTTTTTAAAGAAATGGGGTGATGCCCAGTGCCCTGCCAAGCCATATTAGAGATGGCTCAAATTTCCCATCTGTTCTGATGCCCAGGCTATGGTACAGTGGCACAATCATAGTTCACTGCAGCCTCAAACTTCTGGGTTCCAGGGATCCTCCTACCTTGGCCTCCTGAGTGGTAGTACAGGTGTGTGCCACCACACCCTGCTAATTTTTAAAATTTTTATAGAGATTGGATCTCACTATGCCACCCAGGCTGATCTCAAACTCCTGGCCTTAAGTGATCCTCCCACCTCAGGCCCCCAAAGTGCTCGGATTACAGCCAGGAAGCCTATTTTAACTACATTCCGCCTCTTTAAGTGTAACCATTACATATTGTATCTATCTTGGACTCTCTCTTGTTTTTCCTTGACCCTGGAAAACATGGAATTGGGAAATGGGCTCAGCCTTCTACACAGTGGAACTCTTACCACTCTTATCAGTAACTGTACTTCAAGTTCTTTTTCATACAAACTGCTTCTACAGTAGATGCCTTTTATCTGGTTTTGCCTTTTACCCTTCCCCTTTCTTCTGAGAAGAGCTCTATGTTGTTTGTTGGAGAATAAGTTTTCAGACACTCCAACCTTAGAAACTTATTTTCTCATATGTCTCCACTATCTTGATTGGTTTGTGGGTGATCACCAGACATAAGCAGGGCTGAAGTCCTCCCTTAGGATTTTGAAAAACGAAAATAGGAAAAAAGAGACTTTCATGTCATCCACAAGGCATTAACTGCCATAGGAATTGTAGTAGAGGCAGGGTCTTGCTCTTACTCAAGCTGGCTGGAACTCCTGACATCAAGCAATCCTTCCACCTTGGCCTTGCATGGTGCTGGAATTACAAGCTTGAGCCACTGGGCTTGGCCATTTTTTAGGGCTTTTGATGCATAATGCTAAATTTCATTCTAAAAATGTTATAAGAAAAATTTTTCTGATTTTGAAAATTGTGAGTTACATACAGAATAGTAAGGTCTCATAATATAATCAATGATTTACTTGAATTAAACTCTATGTACTAAGGGAAGAGAGATGGAGGGAGGAAGTGGCTTATGGTGTGGGGATTCTGCCTGTCCTCCTGCTTCATGAATTCATGAGAAGGTGCCCCATACTGATGAGATGGGAGATATGACTTGGCTGTTTCTTCAGTTCCTGTGAGCATTGCCACCCTGTGTGTGACTCTAGTGTTCACATATCTATACCTCTTTACAACATGATCTTAATAATTTCCAATGCTTTGACTAGAATGAACAAAAATATAAGGTGATCTGATCTATAGCTTGAGGAAAAACTCACTGTGTTAGGCCATTATGGGCTGCATACATTGT